ACTCTGCTACTCACATTCATTACATGTGCATTTTTTTTAAAATAATTTTCCCCTAAAGTAGAAGTTGTTGAAGCAGGTGAGGTCATCACCTGCCTTACAACTCATTTACACATCTAGGAGCAACAGGTTTTCACCCATATTGTTCTAGATAGGTCTGAAGCTGCTGATTGACAATATTTTGCACAATGTTTAATATCTTTAAATATGACCATAGTAACTATTCATTGTTAATTCAGAGAGCTGTATGCTGGTCAGGGTGGAAAAGCCTCTGAGGCAACATTTTACATCAAGTACCTACTCACTGTTAAACCTGCGCATGAAACCTGTCTCTTCATAGCGTAAGATCATGGGAAATCCGAGGCGGCCTTGAAGGCAGCACAGGCTCTCATAATGCTCCTCTTCAGCACCAGGAACAGTGGGCCAGCCTGCAGAGCGCTTCCGGAGGCGGATAATCCCCATCTCTACACGCAGTCCTAATGCAATCAGGAAGGAATTGCTATCACTCACCTTCAGGGGAACACGTTTTGGAAGCAAATGCAAGAATCGACCTAGAAGTCCACCATTAGGAGAAGCCTGGACGAGGACGGAGATGGATGTTTGCGTTTCACATGATTGTGTAAACAGCAAACATTGAGCGTGATAAGCCGATCCTCTATAATGTGACAGCTGCTGGCGCATTTCACCTAGTTTGGGAGAGACTACTGAAACCTCGCGTCTTTTTTTCATTTTATTTTTTTATATTCCATCACCATGCTGACGTACAATCTTATTCTAACTTTTATTATCGCGGCTCTGTGGCGGGTCAGCGGCAAACCTCAAACTCCTTCTTCCCCCGCGACGCAGTTGAATTCAACATCATCATCGTCATCATCATCCATCATCAGCGTGGATGAGCTGACACATAATGTGACAGATGCAGAAGCCGTGGGATCCCCGATTTCATCTTTAATGGCGCATCTTCCAACTCTGAAAAACATTGTTATTTTCATCTGCGTGCTAACAGCTGCTCTCATCACATGCCTAGTCATCAAAGTGGTCAGGTAGGCAGGTTGTTTTCTCTCACACCGTCATGTAGCTGTAAGGTCTTTAATAAGCAGCCTTATGATGATGATGCATTCACAGTATGATCTAAATGTGGCTCCCAGTGTTCCTGGTAAATGAATTGATTAGGAGCATGTGGTTGTGTTAGGCTGGGGCCTATTAATAAGGCTCCTACTGGGAATTCTTGTGTGGAGGCACTTGAGGAAGCAGCCTGATGGTGCTTCATGTAGGCTGTCTTGTGTCCTTATGTGTCTGTGACATGTGTGAAGTAGGGTTTGTTGCTTGTTTTTTACAGTTCTGATCATTATTGTAATATTTGCATTCATCAAATTGAATTTATTGTAGTTTTGCTGTAATCATATGTCGTATTAGGGCTGCAATAATGACAATTTTCTTTTGTTTGATTAATCGATGGATGTTTTAATCTATAAAATACCAGAAAATAGTTAAAAATGCCCATCACATGTTCTCAAAGCCCACTTTGGTGTCTACAAATTGCTTTACAAAGATACAAAACAGAAAATCTACAAATTTTTAGAGGTGCAACCAGAGACTGTTGAGTCCAAAAAAATCAGTAATGATCAATTTTCAAATAATCATCCCAGCTCTATTTATCCATATTATGGTTGTAAGAACTCAAGATGTTACCACTAAATCCTCACCGTCTGGGATACACAAAAATAGGTTTACAGCTGTTCATGTGGTTTAGTCAGTCAGCCTAAAATGGTGAGATTATATCTGCTGTGCTCGTCTCATGATTGGCACCGTTTTCCCTCCACGCAGATCTGGGAGGCGAATCAGAAAAACACGGAAGTATGACATTATAACGACACCTGCTGAGCGTGTGGAGATGGCCCCTCTTAATGAGGAGAACGACGATGAGGATGACTCAACGCTCTTTGACGTCAAATACAGGTTTGTTCTATTTAAATTGGAGATACTTCATGGTACACAAAGACATAAGAAAACTTTATTTTTTCCTCTTTTTCTATTGCCCAAATATGAACAATTGCATGCCTAATCCCATTGAGAATGTTCTACCAATACGGGAGAAGTTAGGTCTTTGGATACAGTAGAGACGCTGTATCACTGGAGGCATTTTCCACTGTGAAGTGTGATAAGGGAGTGATAAACCAGTCCATAACTCCAGCCCTTTATTTCCACAGAAATGTAGTACAGCAGGAATTCCTTGACTTGCTTTGCCCTGGAGCCACCTTTGTAAGATGCCTGCAGGCCAGGAGCAGCGTAATAAACAAACAGTAATAGTATTTGTAAAATAAAAGGAATAAGCAAGGCAAATCCAACTGCAGCAGCCCTGCACAGGCTCAGGTGTATGCAGGGGTGTTTCTAGGGTTTGAGGACATGCGAGCTCAGCCTGGATCTCTGGCACTTTATTTTTAATGTACTAGTATGAAAAAATCCCAGTGTGAATCAATTTATTTTCATTGTGACTTAGAAAATGGTCAGCAGGGCCACCCTGCACCCTGTCGCGAGCCATTCAACCCTTACACTTCTCTACAGTGTTTTTGTGATTTTAATTTGCTTGATTGTACTTGTCTTACTTCTTCTCATTATCTCACTTGCTGCCATCGTAGTCTTACAGTGCTTTAATTTTCCTGTGTAAAGCTCCTTGTGACTCAGTTTTGACTATTAAACTTGCTGGCACCACAGTGTCACCAAAATTAGTTAGCTTGTGCTAATAAAGCAGATAAGGGAGGGTCTCACTGCTTTTCTTTAACATTTATTGCACTTCAGCACACCAAAAGTAATGAAGTAATTCGATGCAGTCTGAAACCACACTAACAGAATATCAAAGTACGCATTAAAACATTTGAAACGTGTATATTCTGCTTGCTGCTCTTGAAGAAACTCGTTTTAGTTCATTTAATGTTGACATTAGGTTTCACCCTTCCGTCCTTTCCATTGTTCTTTCACACAACCACTTCCTCAAAGGAAGATATGACGTTGTGTTTACCTGACATTCTTGACTTCCAAGTCAGACCAGACTCAGCAGTATTTCCTCCTAACCAAGTGGACAGTAGCGCCAGATCAGATTCTAACTGTGAGTTTTCATGTTTTTTTGCAGGTGAATCCCAGCATGGACATCAATATTTGATAACTCCTGCTTCGCCCCGGACAACTCAAGTGGTTTCCTGTATTTTTGCGTTGTTCAAGTCTTATCAGATCAGCGACTTCATGTGCAGCTTGTGCATGGCTTTCATCTGTGTTGAAAGGAGTGGAGACGCATGGATTTCATTGTTCGCTGTTTCACTGGCGCTTCTATCATGTGGTACGAATTGCCTGCACAGTGCTCCCTAATATTAAAGATCGGGACGCTTCGTGTTGTGACTTTAAATCAAAAGTCACTCAGAGTTTAATCGTCTAAATTCATGACATGGAAATAACATTTTCTTTTTTTTTTTTTTTTTTTTTTTGACTGTCATTGTTATTAATTTTTACACTTGAGCTACAGTATGTTGGGCAGAGGAGTTTATAGTAGGAGCCTGCTTTGAAGCTATGATCCACCCGTATTAACACTAAACACCATCAGTGCATAAAATCGTAACATGCCACAAATATACTTTATTCAAATGTAAAAATTTGCACACTGATGAATCTATTGATATACAGTGATTGATATTTTTAATTAAACTTTCATACCAAATATGTTTCTATCTACTAACCACTTTATTGTGCATATATACTGTGGATGGCGGTCTGTCCTTATGTATGGAGTAAGCGTATATATTTTTTACAGTGTGTTGTTGTAGACGTTCCTGTTTTGCTGCTATCTCAGCTCAAGTTTTAAGTTTTTGAGGTTCAGATTTGTTTAAAAGCTCAAATAATATTGTCAGGGTATATTTGTAAGATGTTTATGGAATACACTGCTATGAATGTAAATGTTGTAATCTGTTGTTCATTCATGTGAAAATGTCGTGTGTGGGAGGGTTTAATGGCATCTAGTGATGAGGAGAATTACACAAAAACACTAACGGCCCAATCTAGAGCCAGCATTTGGTTTGTCCATTCTGGGCTACTGTAGAAAAACATGGCGGACTCTGTGGAAAAGGACCCGCTCTGTGTGTAGATATAAACCGCTCATTCTAAGGTAACGAAAACACAACTATTTTTTAGATTATTATCAACTATTGAAAACTCAACACAGAAGCTCTTCTGTGCAGAGTTTGCATGTTGTCCCTGTGTTTGCGTGGGTTTTCTCTGGGTACTCCGGCTTCCTTCCGTAGCCCAAAGACATGGAGGTTAATTGGTGACTCTAAATTGGCCGTAGGTGTGAATTTGAGTGTGAATGGTTGTCTGTCTCTATGTGTCAGTCCTGTGATAGTCTGGTGACCTGTCCAGGGTGTACCCACCTCACCCAATGTCAGCTGGGTAGGCTCCTGCCGCCCGTGACCCCCAACAGAATAAGCGGTTACGGAAAATGAATGAATGAAAACATACTTATGAATATTATGTACAATTTCTGTCAGTAGATGCTTCAAAATCCTACACACTGGACCTTTCATTATGTAACCACTGAGTAATAACAACAGGTGTTAAGCTTGCAGTGATGCAGTAACAGAATTTAAAATGTTCGACATGCACACAGTGTCTTATTTTCTAAATCAAAATTATATTATGTCACCATATAATGTCTAGTAACCAATTAAAAATGATCTGAGAATCTGGGATCTCTTGTTTGGGATCAGAGGTGAACAGGTAGTGAAGTATTATGGAAAGTCTCCCAAAATAATTTACATTAATGGCTCACTCATTCTGGTAATGTCTAACGTGAAAAGGAACATTTTTTCCCTGTAAGAGCTCCTTCTCAGTGCCATACAGATTCTGGTGTTGCTGTCTTTTCAGTTGGCAGCAAAGGCTTGACATGGGTTTAAACAAAAACAGTTTGGCCCATTATTTAAGTATAAATTACTATTAAAAACAACAAAAACCAGAACTGATTTGTTAAATCCGTTATATCTTTAATTCAAATCCCAACTACACAATAATCAACCAAAATCCTGATGTAAAGTACACGACAGAAATAACAGAGGAGTTAACAAACCTTCCTCGTCTCTGCCAGCACCCTAAATGTAATTACAGTAAACTAACAACATTGCAGAGTGCCCCTAGATTAGGTTTCTGCAGCAAATGTGTGTGTGTGTGGGTGGTTGTTGTTGTAGGTGACCTTCTGTTTTAATCCAAACTGTTATTTGATAGTGCACCATGGCCTACAGCTGCAGCTGCTTCTGAATGACCTCCATCCCTAGTTAACAGAAGAGACTGCAATGTGCCCAACTTGTTCAACATTTTCTCTCCAGGAGAAAAGAACATTCTGTATTTTTCTTTGTTGGAAACATTCAGAGTAGGCAGGATACGTTTACTGTCACTGTTAGATATACAAGCAATATGGAGTGTGTTTGAATGGAATCATGTGAATCACCCATATTTTTGATATGATGTCCTCGAGCAGACTGCAGGCTGTTCCCTGTGTTTTTCCATCAGACTGTGTGACCACTTGATTTCAGTATTGTGTCATGTTTTATTAGAGTCTTTCACAGCAGATCCATTTTTGTGCCTCTGCTAAGTTTGTCTCAGGCAAGTGTGTCACCCGTGTACAGTTATCCTTTCCCATGCTGGCAGCATCTCTCATTTTGTCTTTAGTTGTGCATGAAATTGTGGAAAAACCCTGCTCATCTAAAGATGCTAATTCTGGACTTTTTATTAGGACTGAATCATCTGCTACAGACAGTTCCTGTTGTAAAATGAATCAAAGTCATTGTGGTAGCTATTTGAAGACTGTAGCTAATTTCCCTAATCCCTCATTTAAACAAACTGTTTTGAAAGTTTACTGAAAACAAGTCCCCGTGTGTGCCCACATCTTGTTTTCCCAGTTTCCATTTCTTTGAAACACTGCTGAAATAAAATTGCTTCCTTTGAAGTGTTAAATCATTTTAAGGGAGAGGCTTGAAGTGTTATTTTTTTCCCCAGTCTGATCTTTTGTGTTTTGTGACACAGAAAAATACATTCACTTTGTCATAACTGCACAATTTATCTGTCCTTGAGTCGTACTGAGTATTTCCAAAGGTTAAAAAAAAAAAAAAATCAAATATACTCGTGTTGTTTAAGACAAGACCAAACATGCAAAATTTTAACATCTAACAGATGTTAACATACAGTATACATGACAGAAAGGAAGGTAAAACTATACAGCACAGTCCCCTCAGTTTTTCCGCTCAGACTCCACATCTCTAGTAACTATGACAAATTCCAGATTCTGGGTTAATTAACTTAATTGTGTTGGTTACAGAACGTTTCTATTTATGCCGAGCTCAGACAAGCTCTCACAAATAAACCTTTCATTGCTTCAGACTGCTCACGTCTCTGGTACAACTTTCATGTCTATTCTTAACTTAACTGGCGGCGTTGGCCATCATGCAAGTCAACAGGCGCATCCTGTCAAAACAACACTATTTTGGATAAATCACATGGCTGGAAGCGCATGAGAGGCCTCTTGTTTTTGAAGCGGAGCGCTTGGAATAATTTGAATACTTCTCTTAATATTTATTAAAGGAGGCATTTTTGTTGCACAAAAATACCCAAAGCGTTTGGCAGAAAGCCCAGTATCAAGACACCTCATAGCAAATGCTGAACTTCAAGACTTCAACTGATTTTTGTATAAAACCCAACTGAGTTTGTCAAATCTGTCTGATATTACCCTTAAATGAACACAGAATTTAAGTTTCTTCCTTTACCACAATTACTTGAAGGTACAGCGTGTAGGATTTCAGGGGATATATTGATGCAAATGGAATATAACATAATAAGTATGTTTTCTTTAGTATAATTACCTGAAATGTTAAAAGGGCAAAAGGGCTTGCTGTCTGTCTGTATGGTGATTAAGGAGCACCCTTTATTTAGAAATTCAGAGACTATGAATAGTCTGGACACAGTTTTCAGCTGAGCCAGAGGCTAACAGCTAACAGAGCTAACTTCATAATTACTGCAAACAACAGCAACAGTGCTGACAGAGCTAAATGTGTTAACCAGTGGGGAACCAGAGAGTGGCCACTACGCAACTGTATGAGGTGATCGAATTCGTTTCCTCAGGATGAGCCATTTATATCTACATAGGGAGCTGATCCTCATGCACAGATATTGCTGTGTTGCACTGCCATGTTTCTACAGTAGCCCATAATGGAGAAACCATACACTGGCTCTTGATAGGGCCATTTGGGTTTTCACATCAGCCACTGTATTTGGCAGCCCCACTGTGACGAACAGTGTTGCAAAGACACTGATTTTTTTTTGACAAGAAACTTCAGTATTCAGTGATTTTACTGGTTTTAGTCACACAGTTTATTTGTTATGGAGAGAAAGAGACCCCTGCAGATAATTTGGATCCTGGTAAAAAACCTCCTGAATGTCTGGCTCTTAAGTTATCAGAGAAAAAAGGTGAGCTCACAGATGGAGGCGCTGGGCTCACGGCCCATCTGTGATAAACCAAACAGCATCAGAGAATCACTGATTTATAATGTGAAACTGCTTTATTCAGTGTTTTTACCGGTTTTAATCGTGGTCAGTTTGGTTTGGAGAGGATGGGATCTCTGCGGATAATTCGGCTCGTAATAAAAACCTCCTGAACAATGAACACTTTAGGATTTCTAACCGGGAGAAGTTTCAGCTGATTGTAATGTGCAATCCTCACCACCAGATGCCACTAAATCCCCTTTAATCTTACACACTGTTCCTTTATTAAATCTCCATCAAATTTACTTGGTTTTTTTTTCATGTTTATTCATATCTGGGTTTCAGAAGTAAATTAAACTATTGAAACACTTTTTCTATATTTCCCATCCTGTAAAACAGTGGTTCCCAACTGGTCCAGCCACGAGGTCCAGATTTCTCTTGAGCCTTTAGTTTAAGGTCCACACTGTTTAATATATTCAGCGTCATACTAACGTTTGGTCGAGCTATTTTGCTGTCTCTGTCAAGTAGCTGTCTATTAGTCAATAACTCTACAGCAGGAGATGACACTTCAAAATAAAAGCTATGCACTGGAAATTCACTATACTTAAAAATAAAGTGTATTTTTTACATGCTTGACACGTTCACAAATCACTTGCAGTCAATCTAGAATGGACCCGCGACCCACTTTAGGACCGTGATCCACCAGTTGGGAACCACTGCTGTGAAGAATAACCCTTTCTTTCTGGGCATGTGAATGGTCCACATTTAAATGGTCAAATTTATAGATTACAGGCACAAAATACTGGCAACGTCAATCAATATCTAAAAATATCTGTACCAACCTATATTGGTTTACCCAAACACACTAAATAGGTATAACTCATGTTATTAAAATGAATGAAGGCATATAAGTTATCAGCTCGTCCTCCTCTCAGTGCACTGAAGCTGTTGCTAACTGTGACCAGGAATTTATTTAAAGCACATTATGGGGCTCATTTCTTACAACCTTTGTAAGAGTATCACCAATACATTCATTTAAAATAAGCTCCTCTTACTACTACACCACTACAGTCTGACCTCAATACTTAGATTTCCAGTGCAGAGACAGGGCTGGTGTTCTTTGAGTTTACAGAAGTGAGTTTACCGCGGGCTAAGTCTGTGTAAACATTCTTATGTGAGCAGCTGGTACACTCCCTCTTTATCCTCACAGAAGCTGAATACAATTCAACGTGCTTCCGTTTCGTTATTTGGCTCTCAAGGTAACCTGATGTTATCACATGGCAGCTCTGGGTGGGTGGACTTTTGAAATGTTGGACTGTGAACACCAATGACGGTTCTTTATAAGAAGGTACAAAAGTTTAAAATGTTCTCTATCAGAGGAAAATGTGTTTTCACGTGTTGGTTTATCACACTAAAAAAATAAAAACAAAAGTTTAAACAGTTGACCGACATCTTTTTCCTCTCATCAACATCCTCTCTGATTATTAAGTGCTTCCATCTTGTGGCCCATATAGTGACTCACAGGGGCCGTTAATTCAGCAGCTCTTTGTGATGTTGACGCGCTGGGTAAATAACAAAACACATTTAATGGAGCCCTATCACATCATAAACTGGGAATATTAATTTGTGGCGTCTAATGACCAATTTTGAAAACACAAATAGGTGTTCTGAAACCTTCATTTGTAACTTACAACTGTACTAGAAACCCGGACGGACTTTTAAAATGGTCTCTTTAAGAAAACAAAGGGGCCGACAGATGGACATGACAGGACCTTCATGAAGAGCAGAAAAAGGGTCTCGTTATTTTAAAGGTTGCCATAGAAATCTCATTAAAGGTAAAACACGCCAGTTAAAGAAGTCACTACAAGAGCCTGAAATAGAAAAAGTTCATTCCAATTACTGAAAATAAGTTAATTCAAGTTTCATAAAAGTACGTTAACAAGAAAAATGTTCGTCCACAGTCTCAAAGTGGTTTCCATGGAGATGCTCATTTTAAGCTATTTGCTTTTGAGCTCCTTCTGCGGTCTCCTCTCCGCAGCGCAGGCTCCGGTGTGGAGCCGAAGTGCCCCCAGTCTGTGCAACGCGCTCAGGGTCCTGAACTCCAAAGGCATGGTGTGAGGGCTGGAGCTGGACGTGTACTCGTACTTTAGAGTATCGTAGTAGTGGTATTTGACCGGTTTGCCCTGCGGGTCGAGTGGGAAGGGCCAGAAGCCGTAAAGGTGGATCTCCTCACAGAAGCGGGTGGCCAGCGTGTACATGAGGAGCCCCGTGGTCGGACGCTTGATGTGGACATTGTTGGTCAGCCAGTACCTGTTGACAAAGACAAGTATGTGATATGCTGCAGCCAATGAATCGACAAGTGTCACTGAGAAATACACAGCAAAAGGAAGAATATGTTCAAGGTTTCCAGAGCTCTTTTCTAGGGAGCACACTTAAGTCAGTGTTCGCTACACTTATCTCCTTCAGTAAGACCTTCTTTCCCTCTGGGTTTTGATATTAATCCAGATATACAGTATGTCGAAGCACACAGAGTGGAGCTGAATCCTAACAAGTCACACCAGTAAAAAATTTAGAGCTTGCCGGATATGTTTCTCTGCTGCAGACCACCACGCTGCTCGTTCAAGGACTCTCTGCTCACAGATAATCAATAAGTGACCTTTTCATCTCTTCTTCTATTTGCTCAGTGGATACACTGCAGAACATCTTCCTCTTAACAAGTTATTTACTCTGGTAGTCCATACATCTGCAGATGCTTGGCAGCCGGTCGTTTTTTTTATAGAAAATATATAGTTTAAATCATTTAACAAGCAAAACATCAAACATTTACTGGCTCCAGCCTCTGATATGTTCATATTTGCTGCTTTTCTGTCTTTTATATCGTCACTCAGTGTATATCTTTGGGTTTTGCAGTGTTGATTGGGCAAAATAAGCAATTTCTTTATGTCATTTTAGGCTCTGGGAAATTGCATTTTTACAGATTGACGATAAAAAGAATGGTTTCTCACAGCCCTATTCGAAACACAGCAAAACAAGATTATTCCTCACATTTCCTGGCTCAAAAATCTTGAATCTAGTGCAGCCATCTGCACAGGAAACAAATAATTTCTATTTGTCTACTCTCCAGACGAAAGCACTCCTGCAACAATGGAAACTACACTGTGGAAAAATTGATTTTTCTCACCACACAGGCAGAGCTTTTACTCTATGTTTCTTAGGGAAAAATAAATCTTTTAGACTGAATGTTGCTTTAATTACTTGTTCAGGTGGATATGTTTTACAACATGTTAAACACACCGGCACTACACTGCACAATTGCATTCCTCTACTTAAGTTGCTTCCGTGACAGTGAGACGCCACATGCTGCCCTCAGGAGCAGCTTCAGGGGGCAGGTGGTCGGACGTTTGCTCACCTCGACTTCATTTTCCTTTCCAGTCACTCGCTTGTTTCTCCTGCCTCGAGGCTACTGCTGCCTCCTACGGCGCTCTGCACTCTGTGGTTAGCGTGGAAGGTCGTGTTGAGATGCAGAGGTTGTACTATTTAAAGCAGTTCATGTGCCATGAAGGGCAAACTCCACAGGGCAGGTTTACAATCCAACCAAACACTACAGCAGGTGATCTGCATTTTAACAAGCACAGGAGACAGGCTAATTATCAGTGAAATTGTCTGATATGGCGTTACGTTGGAGTGAATATGAGCAGATCCTCTGTCCTCTGCCGCATGTGATGGGGATCTAAAGTTCAGTCGCACTGAGAAAGACAAGGTCAGGGGGAGCATTTATCAGATGCCACCATAAAAAGGACAAAGGCATGCAATTCAACCCTAACAAGACTTCAGCCGAATTATTTTCCCTCATAAAACACTGATCAAACAGACTGTAAACTACAAAAATAATGGCCCAGTTCTTCCCCTTCGCAATACTGAGTGTTAGTTGGGGCATAAAAAATGGCATAATTTGGTCACTGACCAGCAGTGGCTGTTAAGCTTTTAACAAAGCGGGAAAGATCCCGAGCAGAGTCTGCTTGTGATGAAAGAGAAGTGAGGACAGCAACAAAAATTGCACAGAGGGATTTTATAACAGCCCAAAGGCAGAGGAGGCTGTATTTGACAGATCTGCAAAAAAAGCATTCTTAAAAAAGCATCCCTGACCAGCTCAAAAATAAATCAACACAACTATTTAGGATTAACAAAATACACAAGTCCTGTTCAACCACAGCTTAACAGCGTTTCTTATTATCTGTGCTATTCCTAAGGCACTGCACTGGCATGTCAACAACAACAATATCTAAATAACATAGTCTGGAGCTACAGGTAAGCAATATTTTGCACATTATTCAAGTGTATGGCATAATGATCCCTTCATAAATGATTTTCAGAAATGGTGGCAGTAAATCGGTGTCAGAATCAAAGCTCAGGAGCTGAGGATGAGCACCTGGTCACAGTGATCACACTCTGAAGAACGAACTCCAATTAAAGGAATAGCTTGACATTTTGGGAAATGTGCTATTTCGCTTTCTTGCAGAGGGTTAGATGAGAGGACTGCACCTGGCTGCTGATTAATTGAGAAATGGCCAAAGCATGTACCTCGCCATAAAAGCACAAATTGTTTGTTTTGAGCCATGCCAGCATCAGACATTCATGTCCACCTCCGAATAAATTCAGGGATAAATTTAAAAGAAGCTGTATGTGACATTCAGAACATTAATATAACAGCAAAACACTATCTGATATACAAAGATATAGTGGAGTAATGGCGTCCTGAGCAGAGAATGAGGTCACGCTATCTCTCTGTGTGTTGTTATTCAAGCTTTTGTTGTCGTTTGTTGTCATGAAAGATGGTCCAGCTGTATGTGGATGTTAGTGCAGGTAAGTCCCGTGTGGGTATCTCACTGGTTAGCTAATCGTCACTACTCTGCACTGTGTTTCTAAGGTGGTTATCTCTGATATCGGGATGCTGGGTTCCCCCTGGTTAAAGCGGGATTTCTACTTCTGCGTCCAATCGATGTACCTATGGCATAAGCTCTGTGTTGATGTAGAACCTACGCCATAGCCTGAAACCATTTCCCTCAGTGGAAACAAAGCTTTAATTTTCTTTAATTTCACAAATAAGAAACAATAAATTGTGAAGACAGTTAAGCCTCCACATAGCATTTAAAGTTATTCTGGCTTCTTATGAGCAGAGGAAAGTTCCGCTATTTGCTGGGCTAATTTATACAATGTATAATGCCATAGGCTTGTGCTAATAACTTTAGCATGTTGTATTTGTTTGGAAAACTTGTTTACTATAAGACAGTTGTTTTGTCAGTGAACCTACTGAGTTGTAATGGAGCCGAATTTTGTAACATTACCTTTGTAACGTTAGCCGCTAGCAGCTAGGCTAATTTATCCAATGTAAAATGCCATAGGCTTGTGCTAAAAACATTAGCTAAAAACATAGTATGTTGTATTTGTGGGGAAAATGTGTCCAGATAAAGACAATTGTTTGTCTGTAAATGCTGTGAGTTATAGTGAAGTCGATATGTGTACTTGTGTTTAAAATTATCTCTATTAAGCCATATTTAATGTGTGTTTTGAATCACCTAAACTTTATAGCACTTCACAGAAACCCCGACGCCGACTCGTGTTTTGGAGGTGTAACTACGGAGTGACACAGAATGACCACCGCACAAGTACTCACAATGGCATAGGCTACGGTAAGCTCTGCATATAGGCAATGCACAAGTATAAATCCCACTTAACATAGTTAGCTCCATCAGCACTGTTGCCGTTGTTTAAGAATACTTCTGTGGAAGGATCAATTAGTCGTCATCATCTCATTAAGTTACATACCTTTACAGTGAATGGAGAACCAAAAAAGAACATTCTTTGCTGCATTGGCTGCATTTAACCAATCACTGCACACTTACATCACTCATTGTTTCTCTTGTGCTGGGAGAGTACCTACTCTGAAATAGGAGCTACAAAAGTCCCTCAACACAGAGTTCTAAGGACTGTGTTCACTCCCAGTTCTTGCTTTGCGATCACAACAAAAAGGGTGATTCTTAGAACTATGAAAAAGTTCCTCAGGTCTGAAAACACCTCTTGATATGCTCTGAATGTCGCATACGTCTCCTTTGATTTGTCTTCCTCTTTGGTTTCTGAGCAAATACCTGCAAAACTAATGACATCCCCATCAGTCTCAGTTGTACTTTGTGTTTACTGCTAATTAGAAAATATTAGCATGTTAACACACTAAATTAAAACGGGGAATATGGTAAACATTACACCTTCTTAACATCAGGATGTGAGCAGAGTCACACAAAGACACATTTCACGCTTGATCAAGACCGATTTTGTGGAACGGCTCCAGGTGCACAGTGAGTGAAGAGAGACCGTGTAGCGTATTCATACCGACTGCCCCTGGAGATCAGCTTTAATGCTCTGTTTAAAAATAGCCACCTGGGCTGCAGATTAGAGTTTGCCAACCCCTTCATTATGCTGCTCACAGGTGTTCTTAAGAGACGCAGCACTCCAGGATCAGCGGCTGCCAGCCTGAGCTGTGTCTTACCCTCTGACAGCGTGGAGAAGGCGCAGCGAGGGGAAGGCAGTGCGGACGTCCACGGTGTGCAGCAGGATGAGACGAAGGGCCCACTCCACGCGCTCCTCTCCCCCCTTGGCCATGAAGGCCGGGATCCACAGCACGCTGCCGCTGAGGCTTTGAAGCCGCTGCAGGAAGCGATCCCTCCACTCTTCGCTGACCAGGTCCTGGAAGGCCCGCTGCACCACTGAAGGGTTCATGGTTACCAAGTTGGTCCGCCACCCCACGTCCTGAGAGTACTCCTCCACAGGTGCCAGGTTACACCTTAAAACAAGACACACCACTTGATTTCAGAATCAGGAAATGTGGAATTATTACCATACACATCTGAGAATATAAAGCAAAGTGTAAGACCACAATGAGCAACACAGCTTCAAACCAGCTTTGTGTAAGTTTTACAAATATAAGAAAGTTCTTTGGAGGCGACAGCAGGTCTGTCATATAGTTAACACTCCTAATTCTCCCTAAAGTTTCCCCTTAAGCTCAGACTTAGTGATTTACACTGCATATAGAACCAGCAATCAAATTTTCTTACATTTTTCTTCGTATTAAGAGGCAAGTTTGCTGAAGAAGGCAGAGCCTGAAATGTCTAGTAGACTGATTTAATTAAAGTGCTCAGCCTATATGTGATTTCAACAGACTTTTGATCCGGTCTGGTAGCACCCTGAAGGACTTCAAGAAACTCAATATAAAGACCGAGCAGAGCCTGTTCCCTCATTCGTTTTGGTAATCTATGACATGAGTGACAAGTGAAATGTAAAAAAAAAAAAAAAAAAAAAAGAATAAAAGAGTGGAGAAACATTAAAGATATACTGTGCTACGCTGTATACTATTCACTGGCTTCCTGTTAAAGACCGCATCAATTTCACGATTCTGCTTCTCACCTTTGAGGCCCTTCATAATCAAGCCCCTTCTTACCTGTCTGAACTCCTTCATATCTACACACCCTCCCGTACTCTTAGAGCCTCTTCTGCAATCCAACTCACATCACCATCTGCCTGCTTGACTACCTTGGGTTCGCGAGCCTTCAACCGTTCTGCCCCCCGCCTCTGGAACTCTCTCCCCCAGGACATTCGCAATATTGACTCCCTTTCCACCTTCAAATCCCGTCTGAAAACACACCTTTTCAAGCTGGCATATTCAGTCTGATTTAATGATGGCACACATATTGAGACTTGCACTGATGATGATTTTATAATGATGAGTTTACACCCAATATTTATTATTTATTTTCTGTCTAGTCATTTTATTAACTTTTATTGTATATTACGGAATTTTATGATCTATGGATACATAGATTGTTTTTTAACGGTGTCTTGTAAGGTGTCCTTGAGTGCTTTGAAAGGTTCCTTACTCCTTACTTCTCTCTGTTCGGGACGTTTATGGGCGTGTACCCCCACAGTGCTCAGGTGAGGTCAAGCTTTATAAAAAGGTAGCAACCAGGTGTCAGACCGTAAGCAGCAGGCATCCAGAGACACAGTGCGAAAGAAAGGAAGTATAGGGAGGCGAACATGAAAAATGAGAGTGAATCTTGGGTGGGTTACTTGGTTGGCTTTTGCTGGCGAGTGTCTTTACAAACAGTAGCCAACAATCCTGCGTAGTATACCTTTAAAACAGATGTAATTAATGCAAGAGATGACAATGATAAGAACCATATGCAGTTCATAATGCCGCAGTCTTCAGTCAACAGACTCCCAAGAGAGCTTAAATGAAAGCCTAAAATCTACACTTTAATCATACCTGTCCTTAATGTGAGCCTGAATTATGATATGCACCAGCGTCATTATGATAGGTCTTTAATTTCATGAGCTGATAACAATGACTAAAGTTGCCACTCGCCAATGCCTAATTAACTTCAGACATATACCTTTTCGAAACTCTTAATCTTCCTTCAGCTCACACCTCACTGAGACACTTTTATCTTGTTTTCCCCCTTCAGTTTACCATCCATCTGTTTATGTCCTTACGCCAGTCAAACCATTTGCCCTGCAGACATTTCCACCCGGAGTGAAACAGCAGAAATGCAAGTGAAATTCAGCAGAAAAGCAGGGTGGCATTTTGTTTATTGATGTTAACCTCGGCCTCCAAGTAAACACCAGAAAACACAAAGCCGGTAATTATCTTCATGGTGAAGCATCTCTATTCTCTGCAGCGTGGCAGGAAAACAAACCAGGAGTGCTTGTTTTTAACAGCTTAACATTTTCTAATTTACACACACGCAATTTTGAGCATTAAACGCTTAATTTTTCTGCATTCTGGTGAATTTTTATGCACCATTTTGTGCTTTTCTGCATCAGTCTTTGGGGTAAATGTGTAACTTACGCAAGGGCATAGGTTTCAGGATTGGGAGGGACACATGAAACAGGGAGTTTGGAGGTCCTCTGCCAGAAAATTTTGAGCACTAAATGCTTAATTTTTCTGCATTATGGTAAATTTTTATGCACCATTTTGTGCTTTTCTGCATCATTTTTGGGGGGTAAATGTGTTTAATTTTGTCAAAATCAAAGTCCTCTGCTAGGGGGGGACAAATGCACATGTTCTAAATATTGAGGGGTACATGTCCCCTAGACCCCTGTCCGAAATGCACACCTATACATACACCTGTGGCCAGTGAAAACCCTATATTTCCAGAACATCAACATTTAAGCATTGGCACATTTAATCCAGTACATTTTGTTGTTTAGTGTAAGAAGTAAAAGAACATTTAATTCTTGAGTTATCTGAAAATGCATGGTTCTCACAGACTGGGGCTTTGTGTTATTTTACGGCTTAATGGTTGCTGTACACTATGACAGCTGATGTACCTGCTTTAGAAAAACAGCTGGTTCAAAGAGTACACCCAAAGAGAAAGCTTGAGAAATGCACACCATCGGCTGACTCTAATTCATTTCTGAAAGATCCAATAAATTGCCCAAGTATGCCGAATGATTCCATTCCATTATCACAATGCTGAGCTGAAGTAATCTATAACCCAAAACACTGTCAACCTACTTTGTGGAAACCCCAACATAGAGCAGAGAACTATATTTAGCCGAGGCGTTATCTCCCTATCTGATACGTGAATGCCAGAGCAAATTCCTCAGCTTCTCAAAATGCCACGTTCGCTGTTGTCTGCCTTCAGCCAACCATTACCACCGTGCCCCGGCGCGATTATCATGCTGCCGTGGTCCGGAAATCATGACCTCTCCTCATCAGCATAACATCGCAGCACTTACAAAAGACAAGATGCTCCGACAACAGAATCAATTTCAGAGTAAAAAAGGGACACACAAGGATTTTGAGGCCTTTTCAGCCATCGATCAATCAGCTCATTGAGGTACTACCACAGACAGCTACTTCCTGCTCCATTTATACAACAACATTAAGGTCATTGATTTATTAGTGGATGTTTCTCACAGTAGGTACCTCCGCAGCTAGTGCATGTTTTCTTAGATTGTTCCTAGCTCTGCACAGAATCCCAACCAGAGATTTTTGTTTTCAGCATCCTTCATTATAATAAACCCTAGACAGATTTATTTTCCTCCAATGACAAGTATGAATAGTGATAAATAACCCACTCAGCGACTCCTTAAACATAAAACAGAGCCGGCTGATGGCTTCACAAACACGACTCTCTGGTGAATGAGAGCAGGACCCCTGAGAGCGCCGGTGTTTCTCTGAAAAGCACAATGTGTTTCTGGTGGATGCAAAGGCTTTTTAAAATGTCAGTTTAATGTATAATCATGCATTTAATTGCACTCAGTCCGGCAGCTCGTTTTCCAACTTCGAATCATTAAAAAGCTTTGACAGCTTTTTCACAAGTGCAATTAATATATTTCCAGCTGTGTGAGCACCAACCCTAAACCTGAATTAAACCGAGAACTCGGGAAAGTGATTATCATTCCAATGTGAATTAGACTCTCAGTAAAGTGAGATAAACCTAAAACTGAAACTAATGTGCTAATCCATTTCAATTACAGCCCACTTTGACTCGCATGTTTTATGATTTATTTCAAGTGGAAGACTTCCAGCCCTGAAATCACTTATGCTGTTTCTGTGGGGGGAAAAAAATATACCTGATAACAAAGTCGTGCGAGTCGATGTCAGGTCCACAGCTGCTGTTCAGTAGGATCCCAGAGTTTCCCACAATGGCGCAGCGCCTGTGATGTTGGTTCTTCATGGGGGACACAGTTGGCAAAAGACGGTAGAGATTCTCTGAGATGTTTGTGGTGCTGTGGCGATCAAACACATAGTGGATGATGTCTCCTGGTTTCAGCGTGCCCTTCAGAATCGAGATGTCTCTCTCCGGATCGAGAAATCTCAGAATATTCTTTCTGTGAAATAGAAGAGAAAAAAAAGCTTTATGAAACACTCTGCTTAGTCGAGTGTGAAAATATGTCGAGGCAATAATGGAGAGTGATGAGTCTGCCTGATGAGGTTGGAGAGGGTCTTGTTGAAGGTCCAGCCGTTTGACGAGAGCCTTGTGGTGTTATTGTAGCTCGGACTGAGGTGATTTACATCCTTCAATCTCGACAGAGCCGTTGGATCCACGTGTGCTGCAGCCTTTCTATAAGAGAATGGAAAGACATGTTAATGACACACTACTATGAATCAACAACAAACAAAAATCTTGTTATTTGGTCCATGTGTGTTGTGAATTTCTCCTTCTTTTCCTTCTAATTAAAAGGTTATTTTTATTTTTCCTATGCGAATGGAGGGTCTAAGAATAGAGGGTGTCACATGTACAGATTGTAAATCCCTCTGAGACAAATTTAGGAGTGTGGGTTATATTTGCAGTGGTGGAATGTAACTAGGTACATTTACTGAAGTACATATGTTGGGTACTTCTTCATTAGTAACTAAAGCTTTGCTCTTTTGTGCTAATTTGTACTGCTACTCCAATACATGTATTGTACTTTGTTATTGTACTACACTCAAGGATAGATTACTGGACGGGCCTGTGGGCCCAAAATCTAAGGGTCACATGCAAAATATAACTAACACACACAACACACAAGTAACACATACCAACCTCAAAGAGACACAAAGACCACAAAGAGATGCAAAGGAACTACAAAGAGACACAAAGAGATGCAAAGGAACTACAAAGAGACACAAAATGATTTCAAAGAGACACAAAACATCTTCAAAGAGACACAAAACAACTACAAAGAGACGCAAAATGACTTCAAAATGACACAAAACAAACGATTAAAGAGGCAAAACCACCACAAAGTCCGTGTGTCTTGCTCCTAAGTAGGAGAGGCAGTGGGGTCTTTTGCATATCTGTGCCCAGGGGCCCGCTGTCTTATAATCCACTCAAGACTACACTCATTTTTACAGCTTTAGCTACTAACTATATTGTGCAGTGAGATTTTATACATGAGATCCTAATATAATGATATAACACTGATGAAAACCATTTAGTCCATAATGTCTCTTTTTGATAATTTCAATACATTTCAGCGACAATTAATGTCACGATTATCCTGGCCAAAATAATTGCCATTCATGATATCAACCCGATAATCGTCAAAATATGCTTAAAACTCTTAAGGTAAGGTAAGGTAAGGTAAGGTAAGGTAAAATTTTAATGTCCCCAAGGAGCAATTTGAGATACAGACAGTAGTCATGAGCACAACAAAACATACAGTACAGGACATAAAACACAGAATCCAGTATCACACGCTGTCAGGGGTAAATCATGGACAATTAGTGGTCACTGCTGGTTAAGATAAGTGATAGCAGACGGGACAAAGGACGATCTGTAACGCTCAGTCCTACATTTAAGGAGGCAAAACATGAAGGGGATGGAGAGAGTCTGTGACAATAGACAGAGCTTTAGAAGTGACCCTCTCTTCATACAGATACTGTAGGTTATTAAGTTATTAAAGTTTGTTAAGAAAGAAATATTTTTTATTGCATCACAGATAAGACAAACCTTTTGTTTTTTACTAAACACCAATTTTAGAGAAAAACAAACACTGTAAAAAGTCATACTTCTTAGTATCATTGCAGCCTGTTTTTGCAGAGTCTCTTTAATTGTTGGTTACCCACCAGTCTTTTTGGGTGCTTCTGGACACGATATTTACAATTACCCGGTAATGGAAATTCACCATGATCAACTTATTGCGACCACGATAAAATCGTGTATCATCCCATCCCTTGCATCAATACTTATCTACCTTATTAAGCAGGACTTTTACCTGTGATGGACTATTTTTACAAAGCCAATTCCTGCTTTTATTCAGTCAAAGGATCTGAATAATTCCTCCACCACTGTATATAAAGACAATTGACCTTCCTTGACTTTGCTTCAATGAGGCTTAGAATAATTTTAAGTCACTGTTGTTGATGTTATTTGAATCACGGCATTTTTAATTCAGCCTTATTCTCATGGCAGATGTTTGTGTTATCACACAGGCACCACCACATCGATGGGTATTTATAGCAGCTGCCTTCGCGCTGTAAAAAGTAATGAGACGCTCACTGTGAATGACTCACTGTCAAGGCTGCACAGGAATCAAATGACCAGTGTAGACTGTAAAAAAATTATACAGGAAGACCAGTGAGCTCCCCACTGGTGGTCTGCGGCTATATGCATATGTATGTGCGCATACATGTGTGTGTGCATGGAGATAATTAGATGTCAGACCTTTGTGGTTTAGGGATGAGCTGGTGCAAGTTCATCTTCTTTGAATGTCCAGCATTTCTAGAAGATAAAAAAAGAGCAATTTAGACTGAATTATAGCTCACATCATGCAGCCTGAAGCCTTGGTTGATAATGGACTGATGCTAAAAAATCCATCCTGTAATCATATCCTGTAACAGTAATGCACCCACTGTATTCAATGCCAGCCATATTGTATTTCCGTCTTTTAAGACAGAATGAAGGTGGAAAGCACGCATCAAGGTATTTTTAAAGCAATCCACTGTGGGCCCATTTGCTGATGTAATGAGGAGAAATGTGGCCTTAATGGAGCCCCATTATACTGAAAGGAGGTTTTCTTTTTTGCAGGGAAGTGAGCTATCTCTTTACAGGGGCGTTGAACGCGCCAGCTGATATGCATTTACAGTAAACACGCCGTATATGCACCCAGATCAGTCTGTTTTGCAATCATGACCTTGGTCACATGTGATAAAATCGTGACAAGCTGCCGGCTTGTCTTGAAGGAGCGAGAAAACTGAGACAGAAGAGTGGCGCTCTGACAGACAGGTGGGCTGTGTAACAATCCTGGTGGCTTTAAATATTTTGTTATAATTGTGTTAAGCTTCATTTATGCAGAAGTGGAATTGGTTCTGGTTATTCTCCCACGGCGAATCACAAACCAATATGACCTCATTACAACGTGAGCCACAGCCGGGTAATTGCATTCAAAACAAAATGTTCTTGCTGAAAGGGAAATGTGAGAATCTAAAAGCTTCACAGAGGCATTTTTATAATAATAAAAGAAAAAGTCATTTTTGCTGTTCAGGTAGCACAGCATCTTTGGAGCAATGGTGGTGATGATGATGATGATGATGATGAGAGGGAGATGAGGATGTTGCACTGGTTGTTTTTTACATGTGACAGAAGTATTTTGGTGCTAAATTAAGAATGTATTTTCTTGCGGGTCAAATGCAAGTGGGGCATGTGCGTGACTTGAAAGATTTCTGCTGCACTGCTCAACATTTCAAAGTCTGGAAAATGAAAAAGAGAAAAGAAAAGAGAGGAGGAAAGCCTCTTTTGTTTCCAATCTTTTGCCCCCTCCTCTCCTTCTCTCTCTTTCTCTCACACACACACACACACACACACACACATGCACACACACACTCAATACTCTATAGTGTAAATGTATCCTATCCCGCATGCAGGCTGCTGCAAGACAAATAGCCTAATCCTTGGAGACCCAGGCAGGCTGCTGTCGGAACAGCTGCTACTGCTGCACCCAAGTGTTACAAATGTAGAAACAAACCACACACACTCTGCATTCAACTCCAAACTTCAATTCAATTCACATAAACTCATTTATTTCACTCATTTAATTTTTTTCCTCTCCCCCTCAGCACCACTTAACTGATTCAATCCTGTGAGGGAATAACCTGCTGGACATGAAAACAATAGACACACACTCACATACACAATGCATGGGTGAATTACGGTGGGCTACTTACGCAGTTTCTTCCTCCACTTCTGCAATATCATCAATTATCAAAATCACAACCAGCAGCGTTACAAAGCCGAACAACAGCGTGCGGAATACGAGCGGCATGGCTGAGGGGGGCAGGCTGCAGCCGGGAGTCCCTCCTTCCAGCAAACACTGTGTTACATTAACCTTCTTGTGTTTCCCATTTAGAAATCGAAAATCCGCTCAGCCACCTCTCCCATTGTTCTTATCGCCGGAGTCGGACACTCCCAGGCGAGCTGCGGTCCTTTTTCCAAACCCGTCTCTCCTCAGATGATAATTTCCTGGTGTCTGTTTCCCGGCGGGGCGATGCTGCTGCCGTCTCCACTGTTACCCCCCCTATTCCCCAGTCAAACTTTGAAAGCGTGCACCTACAGAGCCTGCCATGGGAGCAGCGAGATGTATACCACATGCAGTCTTAAAGGCGCAGCGGCCAACAGCTCCATCTTTAACACCAGCCGGTTTGATTTCACTCTCCAGGTGTTAGTTGGCACACTAAAGAGGAAGGTGTAAGACTGCAGTGTGGAGTCAGGCAGGCAGGTGCAGGAGACAAGTGGACTCATATCCTCATATCCCAACACAGAGTGCAGTTTTAGTGAATGTGGGATGTGTGGCACTTAAATAGAGGTCAAAGCCTCAGTGAAGCCCACGTGGCCACCAAACGCACTGAGTGAGCCCCAGTAGATCAGACACATAATGAATTTAATGGGGACATCTTTTTATAGCGACCAGTGGTGGAGGGTATCTTAAGCACTGTGCTTTATTGCAGTTTTAATGCAGGCCTACTTGTACTTTGCTTAAATTTTTAACCTCCTGAGGATACAGCTTTTGTTTAATATCCATCCATCCATCCATCCATCCATTTTCATCTGCTTATCCGGAGCCAATAGCACCCCAGACGTCCCTCTCCCCAGCAAAGCTTTCCAGCTCCTCCTGGGGGACCCCAAGGTGTTCCCGGGCCAGATAAGATACAGTCCTTCTAGTGTGTTCTGGTTCTGCCCTGGGGCCTCCTACCAGTGAGATGTGCCAGAAACACCTTTAACAGGAGGTGTCCAGGAGGCATCCTGATCAGATGCCCAAACCACCTCAACTGACCTCTGACCTCTGAGCAGCGTCTCTACTCCGAGCTCCTCACCCTATCTCGAAAATAAATTAGCCAAGCGGCCGGCCATCTTTTCCCTCTCATATAAGGACAACAGCAACATTTAACACAAGTAACTTTACAAAATTCAGCTCCATTACAACTCACAAGGTTCACCAACAAAACAACTGTCTTGTACTAAACACGTTTTCCAAACAAATATAACATGCTAACATTATTAGCAGAAGCCTATGGCATTTTACATTGTATAAATTAGCCTAGCAGCCGGCAATCTTTTCCTCTTCTCATATAATGCCAGGGACAACAGCAACATTTAACAAAAGTAACGTTAGATAATTTGGCTCCATTACAGCTCACAAGGTTCACCGTCAAAACAGCTGTCTTATGCTAAACACGTTTACCAAACAAATACAACATGCTAACGTTATCAGCACAAGCCTATGGCATTTTACATTGTGTAGATTAGCCTAGCAGCCGGCGATCTCTTCCTGTTTTCATATAAAAACAGGGACAACAGCAACATTTAACAAAAGTAACGGCACATAATTTGGCTCCATTACAGCTCACAATTCACCGAAAAATCAGCTGTATTATACTAAACACGTTTTCCAAACAAATATAGCATGCTAACGTTATTAGCGCCGGCCTATGGCATTTTATATTGAATAAAAGAAAAACTCATTTTGGTCGCTTGTTTCCACGATCTCATTCTTACGGTCACTACCCAGAGCTCATGACCATAGGTGAGGGTTGGGACATAGATGGACCAGTAAATTGAAAGCTTTGATTTTTTGATTTTTGTTGAATATGCATTTTTAATTTCTTCTACCTATTTGGGATTAGTAGGACCTGATTAGTATAAACTGAGCGTTGTCTTTGAACAATAAGTAGTTTTGGGGACAAAAAAGATGTCCTCATATGGGCACATCACACTATAAGTGTGTAATAAAGTATACAACAATTTATTTCAGTACCTGAACACTGTTATGCAAAAACAAAATGACAAACAATGCAACATATGCTCACTGTTTAACATAACTCTGGGTTAGGGGGCACTGTTCAGATCTAAGGTAGTTTTACTTCTATTTGTGCTCGCCATAGCCTTATTCAGATAAAGCTTATTCACAGAGTATACTGGACTAAGGCGAGGCTTGAGAAAATAAAATCTGACATAAGCCCTCTCTGTGACAGATGTCATCAAGCCAACGCCACTGTTATTCATATGTTCTGATCCTGTCCTTCTCTGACACAGTCCTGGCAACCTATCTTCCAAACCTTTTCCTCTGTTGCAAATGAAAACATTGACCTTGCCCTGTTGTTGCAATTTTCAAAACTCAATTGAACTGAACTGTTGTGCACAAAAGAAAATTGCAAATAATGCAACATATCTAAAATCCATATGATTTGTTTGTTTTGTAACTGTAGATGAATTTTTCTTCCTCTATACTCCAAGCTAGGAATGTCATTTTTGTCTGCAGGAACAGTCTGTCACACTTGGCCTGTGTGAAGTGCTGCGATAATACAATAGTAAAGTCTCAATGTCCTCAAAAGAGACAGAAATAAAATCCCATTGTCCTCAAATGAGTACTTCCTAATTAACAGTGTGTAAGCTTGTTACTATTGCTAAAACCTTTCAGATCCACAGGCAATATCAAACAACAAACATTATTCTTAAGCATAAATATACAAGTATCAACCATAAAATCTGATCACGTTTTTTACCTTGTCCACTTTTGTGTTGGGATCGGCTGCAGACTGACTTGGCAGAGGTGGCTGCCATCTTGTTTTTACATGGACTTGTGTATTGCAGTCTTACTGCCACTAGATGGTGCATGAACATGTCCTCGAACAAGGACAACAGGTCTTAGTTAAGCAGAATAAAGTATAAGGTGCAGCAAACTCAAACTGTAATGTCCTCATATGAGGACGGAGGGTGGCAAGAGGTTAAAAATATTTTAAACTTAAAGCCTACTCCACTACATTTAAAGGTCCAGTGTGTTGTATTTAGGTGAATATATTGGCAGTAATTGTATTTAATATTCATTACAATGTTGTTGTTAGTTTATAATCACCTGATAATACGGATCGTTGTGCTTTTTTTTTTTTTTTTTAAACGTAGAATTAGCAGTTTATATCTACATACAGAGCAGGTCCTCTCCATAGATGTATTAAGAAACTTAATACAGCGTTGGAATCAGGCCGCCATTCTTTCCTATGAAACTTGCTCAGTGGCACAAGAAGACAATTTACGCAGTGTGAAATTACCAGGATCTTCCATGCTGTGGAGTGCATAGAGCAAGCAGACTAGAGACCTACAGTGGCCAAGTGGGACCAAACAGCTAACTTAAACTGGGATAAAAATGTATACAAAATTCTCTCTCACACTGTTAGTCTGTGGGGAAGAGTCTTTTGGGGCTCAATGGCATCATGTGACAGACCCGGAAGTTGTAATTCTATGTTTGGCCACAATGAAAATTTGCTTCAAAGCCAGGCGCCTTTCCTGAGGGCTTTTTCCTCTCCCTCAGAGTCGGCCATGTTGTTCTACAGTAGTCCAGAAAACAAACCAAACACTGGCATCTAGACAGGGCCATTTGTTTTTTTGCATTGGCCATCACAGTTTTCCTACACACTTGGCAGATGAAACAAACACCAACTTTGGCCCGGGCGAGTTGCTTTTTTCCTAAACCTAACCACGTGTTTTTGTTCCCTAAATCCAACCATATGCGTTAGTTGTGGAAGGCAAAAAACCCCATCAATTTGCAGTGTTGTACCGATGTAGTGCGTTTATTTTGAAAGAGACTGTGTGTAAATGTTAAATTTCCTGTGAAAACGGAAGTGTATTTTGAAAGGAGACAATGCATGTAACAGGCAGAACTTGACATGGGGTCCAAGAATGTCAACAACCAACACACCCAGGGTACCTTTCACATCGTATCTGGATGTGGGAAGTCCATGATCTAACGTCAATATGTGACAAGGTCAGAGTGAGAATGTGTTTTCACATTTATCTGACAGCTTTTCACATTAAGATTTTACATAAAAACATGTATGATAATCTTGTACTTTGTTCAAGACTAAATAAGTAAGTCCCAGTCTTTCTTTTTCTTATAAGCTTTTACAGAGAAAGCAGTTGACACCTCTTGTCTCCGGTCTAGCAGTTCCACCAAACTTCTCAAATGGTTTCACTTAAAGAACTGCTCAAAACTCAGCAAAGAAAATTATCCAATATTTCACAACAGAGGAGGAAAGTCAATAGAAATCTGTGTTGCAGAACTCTTTTTTTCTTCTCTCCACTCTCATTAATTATCTCACGACCCCTCAGATTTATCTTGTGACCCTTTGGAGGGGGGCTGACCCCTAGATTGGGAACCACTGGACCAGATATAAAGTAGTTAAAACTAGCTCCACTTCGACCAGCTGCAACAATAAGTACTGAAGATGCTTTTGTACTTTTACTTATGCAGGTTTGGGTGCAGAACTTTTACTTGTAACAGAATATTCTACATTGCTGTTATACTTAAATTAAGGATCTAAATACTTGCACTGCTGATGCAGTTTTTTGGAGCAGTTAACTTCAGTAGTTTGGAGGAAGGCTGAGATGAAAGTAATATGACTTTCTTTCTCTCCACTTCGGGCTGAGATATTCCCTGCAAGTTATAAATGTTGGACACTGCTATCATTTCAAAAAAATGTTTTTGAAGCTCACATTTCTCAGTATCTCTGCACTGCTCAGGGAATTTCTGTTTTTTTCTTCTCTCATACAAAATGGCAGGACTGCTGATCTTGGAAAAAAGAAATGCATCAGACCATATATCTTTGTATAACTCACTGGCTCTGCTGTGTCTACAGTTCTCTTTGATTTTTGCAAAGCTTATGTTGTTTATCCTGAAAAATAGCTAGCTGGGCGTGTTTGCTCCGTCTTGCAGTTTCCTGCTAAAATGTTTGCTACACCTCCGGCACATAAATGTTAATGTTGGAGTTGCAGCAAAGACCCATTCCACTTAGAGGAACGGCTTACATTAGAGCTCACTAATTGCTGCTCAATTTACTAGTGATTAAGCATTGAGTATACACATGTTCACATTTTAATTATCAATAAGTTACAAATGTTGGTTATAATGGCCATGTTAATTATAACAGCTACATTAAATACACTGGGAACTGTCAGTTCAGAACATTGTGGGCACAGTCTGGCAGTAATTGTTACTTGATAAAGAACTAAAAGTAAAAAAGCAGTTTTTATAGTATGTCATAACTAAAGTGACTGCTGGTTACATTTGTGCATCATCATCATCATCCTTAACACCAAGATCTTAGTCCAGTCAATTAAACTCAAAAATGGGCCCAATCTAGGAGAAATTGCAGTAGTAATGTTTCATACTATTTATTGGTTTTAATACCCACCTGCATTGTATCTTAAAAGTTCCATCATGGATTTAGTGGAATAACTGTTTACAGT